GCTGGAGGCAAAACCAAGAATTCCATCGCCATTCTAGCTCGCAAGCTCAAGTAACACTAACGCGCAGCATGCAGTTAAAGTGTCGCGATCCACATCCGAAGTAAGTAACTGCATCGTTAGACAAACGATCATACTTAAAACAGAAAGAGAACGCACTATGCTGATAAGCCGAAGCCTTTTTCAGCACATGACCAGTTATAAAGAAACTATAAATCTCATCGAAAGGCACTACTTTGCGTTTTGACGCTCAACCTACAGAGTTGACAACTATAATTATTTAAAACGATACCTTTTTCAAACAACTAAAATTAACAATATAACTATGATATGGTTTCACCTCACATGGCTCAAAATAAGGACAGCGAGAATGCTTTAAACTTGAATTGGTTAGATAGCAATATATTTTTACGAACTGCTATAATTGCCTGACTTTCTTTACATTACCCCTATTGGTTACTCACTTATAATTGTCACAAGTATGTTTCTATCATTGCTTGTGACCCTCTTTGCTCCTTTAGTTTGTTTCATTGTACAAATGAATGTCCCATTGTCTTCAGGCTTTACAGGGCTAATATGTAGGCTGCCGTTGGATACTTGAGTGAATCGTCTGTGGTCGAAAGAGTTTCCTCCTTTTTTACTCCAATATATCTGTGGGCTTGGTTTTCCCTGTGCACTGCAGCTTATAATTCCAGATGTGTCCGCAGTCAAGATTTGTTGGTCTAGCGTGTTGTCAGTAAATTTCGCTGTTGAAAGAAGTGACAAAAACCACCAATATCATATCAGTACTGTTAAAAGGTCAGTAGTATACTGATCTTACCCGTCATTATCCTGCATTGTTAGACTATGCCTGTATCTCTGTAAGCTGAAAAGATGTGTTTTCTTACCATTGACGTAGACAATGTAAAATTTAACATATTCCAATCTGTAGCACTCGTACAATCCTGCATCAGACAACTGCACTTTGTAAATAAACAGTTCACCAGTTTCTTTGGTCCTGATTCTTTGAGAAGTAGAGTTTGCACTTTGACCATTGATCGTCCATCTTCCATAACTGGTTTCATTATGTATTGAGCATCGAAGCTCTTCAGTGCTGCCAATATCAAAAAAGAGTTCTTGTTTGTCCAACACTTTTTTGTTCTCTGCAAGAAATGGTTCAGTTGGAGGATGTTATAAAAAAAAATCTCCTATTAAATAACATTACTACTAGAGAAAGAAAAGATGAATATATTTACTTATACCAATGCTTAAATTGACAGATTTTTATGTTCTTCATGCATTATATTAGACTAAGTTATTTTACTCCACACAAAGTCTTGTCAACCGTTGTTAATTTATGTTACATCCAAATTTTAAAAGTCGTGAAGCCCCCTAAAGACCACGGTAACCCCTCACCAAGACATGAAATCCAATAAAAAACCATTGATACCCCCATAAAAGTTGTTTAAGCCCTACCTTAAGCCACTTGAGTCCTATTACTTTAGACCAAGTAAAATCACCACTAAGCTTAGTCATGTTACCCCAAACCAAGTTATATCATCCCCAGTCTGAGTCAAATCTTTATCTTAAGTTCAAGATCCTCGAAACTATATATGCTCTTTTGCAAGCCGCACTTGAACAGGTACTATTTAGAAAAGAGCTTCTGTTCATCAATAGATTCGAATTTTTATCTGATTTTTCTTTACTAGGCCTAAGGGTGAAAGAAAGACAACGCAAGAGAACGGAATCACGATTCCAGCTTTACAATGAAATACTTACTTGGTTCGCACAACGCCTGAGAACCCTTGCCATCTGATAAACATTGAGGTGAGATGTTAAGCTTCCCATCAATACGAGCACAAAATGCAAGTTCTGGCTCATCTCCTTTGCAAGAGACATCTGACATTACAAAAGGAATTCCGTCATCCTTTACGTCTGAACTAATGAATTCTGCCAAAGCCTCCTCAAAGCCAAGTTGACGACAAATAACTTTGACATCGTCAAAATCCCATCCTTTCCTGCAGATCTTTGCCCATTTACCTTTGTAAAATACTTCCACTCTTCCTCCATACTCCACATTTG